TGAACTCCCGCCCCTTGACGCGTTTCGTCATACCGACTTTGTCAAAGGATCTCACTGACAGCCGCTCTTCTCTGGATCCTATAGTACTAGTAAATGGCAAAATCTCAATGATTGTATTAACAATCTGACAGTCAAGGTATCAATGAGAAACAAAAAAATCCCGTCCAATATATACATAATAAGTACATTAAACCTGCAAAGAAAGCTGAGAATTGGAGGGTAAAACAGACAAAAAAAAGTAGTAAAAAAGGAAACATATGTGAAGGAATAATTTCCTAATAATGACTTCAAAAGCAATTTAGATGGAAGTCAATATTTAACCCTTTTGGAGTGAGGGGATCCAAAATATAGATCCATTTAGATTTGTCTTTGGATGTCTTCCTAGTAAGATTGGACCCCCCCCAATATTATTCCACCCTATCAATACCTATAATTCTCAGACCCCCAGGATCTCTATTATGGGCTATGTTATAATGTCTGGAGAGACTGTGTTCTTAATGTTAGTCATGTGCTCTTCCATTGGTTGTCTAAGTTCCCTAGTGGTCCTCCCTCCATATTGCTGGCCACATGGGCATTCTAAGAGGCAGGTGACATATTCAGTAGAACAAGAAATACATTTTATAATTGTGTAATTGCTCCGACTGGTTCTAGGCTGAAGAGAAGCCATCTCCTGCAGCGGATGCAGCGTCTACAGAGATCAAAACCTATCCCCTCAAAAAAAACATATGTTTTAATCCTTTTTGGTGGATTTATTACATTTTTTGCTAATTTTTTTTCCCGAAAACCCTCCTATAAATTATTCTGTGTTTATCAGGAGGGATAGAACCCAAAATCCGATCTCTCTTCAGGATACCCCCAATGTTTTCTAAAAAAAATCCGAATAATCGGTCATAAAAGATACAGGGAAAGAGTCATTTTTATTTTGAATAGATTTTAATAGTTGTTCTCTGTCAAAGTGAGAGACTTCATTATGCACCTTTTTATCATTCTTTATTATTATATCCTTTTTCTATCAATTTATCTAATCTAGTTTGGGATTGTATTCGATAGTCTTCTAATTTGGTGCAATTTCGTTTCATACGAGTCAACTGTCCTTTGGGGATTCCCTTTAACCATTTAGGATGATGACAACCAGCGATTGGTACGTACACAGGCTGCAGTCTTATTACAAATGATCTCGGCAACATCGCCGAGATCACTTTTAAACAAACAAGTGGCTTCCCTGCTCTACATTTACCGCCCGGAACTGCATGTCCTGGGCGTCGGGAGATTTCAAACCGCTGCCGCCCCTCTAATCCCTGCCGCCCCGAGTCCAGGCCTTGTTGGCCCTGCTTCTAGTGACTCTATTCCTTTGCTAAGATGAACTCCATCTTTAACTTGTTTGGTTTCCAGGGACTTTACATCCTCAACTAGAATTTTAAATCCATCCACCAGATGATTAGGAGCTGATCTTAGGGTTAAAAACTGACTGATTCCTCGAGGTTGTATGAAAGTATTTCTTATTGGGATCGTTTTCGAACTGGGGCCTGGCAGAGAGGAAGAATATTTCTTTATATTTCATTTCCTGATGAATATTTATAACTGTATTAAAGGAGAACTATGAGGTGAGTGCCTTTCACTCATCCTCACAGTTCTAGCCGACCTGTGACAATGAGACTGTTACAGGTCGGCTCAGTAGATCGGGACGTGAGAGAACACATACCGGCGTTCGCTCACCTCTCGATCCTGTCACGGCTCTCTGCCGTGACAGGGGAGGGGCTGGATTCCCCCCTCCCCGCTCCGATCCGCCAGCGCTGACTGGTGGAACGGACGGGGGAGGGGGCGGGTACAGCTGGCTCTCCCTCTAGATAGGCAGAGCCAGCTGTCACTCACGCAGCTGGGCAGATCCAGACATAGTTGTCGTGATCCGTTTCATACTGCGGCGTCTCAGTGTACCGCAAGCTGTAGGTATACTGAGCTTTGGGTGATGGGAGGACCCTAGTTTGTATCCTCCCGTTACCCTTAGGAGAACTATGGGGAAAAGCCCTGACCCCATAGTTCTCCTTTAAATGTATTTATGTTATTCACTGGAGCATATTGGAACCTCAAGTTAAGGACCTTCTCCTCCTCATGTGTTAATGTTTTTTAGGTTTTTTTTCGGTGTGTATGACTGGGATAAAGTTATTTAGGGGAGATGTTAAAATAATATATGTAATAAACGGGTTACAAAAATGCTAGAGAAGACTCTAGATGGTGACCTGATAGTGATTTTTTTTTTTTTATGATGCTTATATAAAAGTTATCGTATCCTAGTGGATTAGGAAAAAGAGTGTTTTTTCAATGCATTGATTTGTAGAAGTTAGCATAATGGAATGTGGGGGGTGGTATGGAGGTTAGGTGTGTGGGGTTTGCAATGATTGTATTGTGAAAATAGAATTTTGTATGTTTTTGTCTAATAAGTTTTTTTTTTTAAATATTAAATATTCATATTATTCACAACTAATAAAACCTATTCAGAATAAAAAATGACTCTTTCCCTGTTTCTTTTATGACCGATTATTTGGCCCAGTATAAGGATTTAGTTATTGGGACAGTTCTCGAACTGGGGCCCGGCAGAGAGGAAGAATATTTCTTTATATTTAATTTCCTGATTAATTTTTGAATATCTATATTTGTATTAAATTTATTCATATTATTCACAACTATTAAAACCTATTCGGCCCAGTATACGGATTTTGGGTTCTATCTCTCCTGATAAACCCAGAATAATTTATAGGAGGGCTCAGAATTAAAAAAAATAAAAATACGGTAGCAAAAAATTTAATAAATCCACCGAAAAGGATTAAAACTTTTTATTTTTTGAGGGGATAGGTTTTTATCCCTGTAGAAGCTGCATCCGCTGCAGGACTCCGGGAATGAGGAACAAGATCGCTTATTTTCAGTTTAGAACCAGTCGGAGCAATTATACAATTATAAAATGTATTTCTTGTTCTACTGAATATGTCACCTGCCTCTTAGAATGCCCATGTGGCCAGCAATATGGAGGGAGGACCACTAGGGAACTTAGACAACGAATGGAAGAGCACATGACTAACATTAAGAATGGTTTGGTGATTGGAACTCCTGAATCCAATGATTTGGAGGGGTGTCCCAATACTTTTGGTAATAGAGTGTATATATATATTTATGGTTTTCATGTTTATTTGACAATATTATTGTTGCCCAATTTTTTTTTTTTTCCACAAAAATGTTTTTGTTTTATTAATCAAAGTTTCTTGTGTTGCCCAATTTTTTTTAGCGCTGTGCGATTATTTTCTATTCTCTCCATGGCCTCGTGCTTTGAGCAGAGCAGCTTTCGATCGAAGTTTTAAAGCTACATCCTGTTAGCGCAGAATCTCTGTTCATTTTCACCATTTCTCTATGGGCTGGTAGGTATCGGCCTCCCAACTTCAGATCAAATTTTCTTACTGGTTCCCAGTGAGACCCAAAAAAACTTCAGAAGCATACATATTCATAATAGAATAATGAAATAAAAACATGTATGCATAATATATGTATATTATGCATAGGTGTTTTTTTTTATTATTATTTAATTATAATTGTATTTATGTTTATATTTATTTATTATATCTATATAACAATAGATAAAATACTTTTTATTTAATCACAATGTCATTATAATAAAGATTATAAGAGATGAAGTGCTTGTCTGTCATTGGCCAATCTCTGTGCCCATCTCCCAGCACAGGATCACACACTTCACCTCAGAGTCAGCAGCCCCTTGCCTACTCTGCGCCCAGACCCTTAAATACCCAGACCACGCCCACTTCCCAAATTTCGCCCACCGCTTCCGGTGTATGCGTTCCACGCCTCCTTCCTACTCCTCCTCCACCGCGGGCTCCGTGGAACGCACAGTGGGACTCATTAGGGGAGAAACCCGGAAGTGAAGGTACTTCCGGCTCTGGAGAAAGGTGAAACAGTTTGCTGAGAGGTACAGAGGGGTCTGCAGGCTGTCAGAGGAGAGGCGGAGGGAGGGAAGGACTCATACCGAATACGTTGTTATATATATAATACAGTGTGGTTACGTCATTATATAGATACAGGCAATGGAGATAAAGTCAGGAACAAGTATATAAAATACAGATATGGAAATGAGTTCTGCGATGTGGTGACGGTGTTATAACATTGGTGACACAGTCAGTGCTGCTGTGATTGGGGGGGACGTTTTATGTGGGAAAATATGTGTATAGTGGAAAAATATTGAGGGGGTGGTAACTCATACCGGAGCAGTTGCCCATAGCAACCAATCAGCTTCTCTCATTGTCAAAGTTTAACTGAATTGGTTGCTATGGGCAACTGCTCCGCATTCTATCTGCCCCAGGCTTGCTAAATTCCCCTCAACATGTTTATCTGTATAACCCCCCCTCCTCTGCCCTCCTTCTTCCTCTGTCTCTGCTCTTGCTTTTTGTCCTCTCTCTCCCCTCTACTTTCTCTTCATCCCACCCCCCTCTCTCTCTGTACCCCGCTTTGTTTCCCCACACTGTCAACCTCTCCCCCCCTCTCTCTGTCCTTATC